TCTTTATAATATATATATATATATATATATATATATATATATATATATATATATATATATATATATATATATATATATATATATAATATGCATGTTTGTTATTTATATATTGAGTGTGAGAGAGAGAGAGAGAGAGAGAGATCGTCAGTGCAGCCAGCTTGGTACACGCCTAGATACATCATACCTCCGTATCTATACACATGAGTGTGCTCTCACCAAGCGCATGTGGTACAATACGAAGGCATCGACACATCCAGACATGCGCAGAGTGTAATGGGGCCAGAGTGCTCAAAGAACCACATGGAAAGTGAGCTTTGCATTATCGCTAATAGTCACCATTAACAACTCCGCAGACAACTCTGCTTATAAATATAACAACAACTCTGTTCATATATCAACTCTAACAAGTCTGCTCATATATATATACCTATGTTAGCTTTTCCTGGCTATGATAAAAAAATTAAGACTTGACACAAAGATTTTACAATTGGTCTTGTACAACCAGATAAGGTTCTACACCAAACGTATCTATCCAACTAGAAATACATGCGTGCAGGAACCACTCGTCTATTTTTATTCTTGCAACGTAATCAGTTCAATCATAGAGTTTGCTCTTGGAAATAATATAGCTTTTTAAATTGTATTATCTCTTTTTTAATATAAAATAGGGCAATTTAGAAGGCAAGTGGAAAACCCGAAAACAACGTAGAAATTTACAAATAAAAAAAAAACTTTCTTTATATTTCATCATTTCCCATCTTATATCTCTTCTTGTCATTTCTTTAAAGTAAATTTTAAAAACTTCGCATGTTTTCATTATTTTAAAATGAAATCTTTAATAGCAGTCAGCTCGTTCCACTCGTGACAGTCCGCCATATTTTGAGATCAGTCAGATCACTACCACTACCCAACAGTGCGGAATTAGCACCCTTGCCCTGGGCTTACACCCGGAACTGCGATCCGCGCCATTGGCTGGGTAATGAGTGAAACTGACTTTAGTTTATTATACTGTCGTAAAATTTGTTTCACTGGGACAATTTTAATAATGTTAGTGTAAAAATTCATCACTTAGACTACGTGCACACGGTAACGTTTTCGAGCGTTTTCATTTGCGTTTTCACGCTAAAACGGATGCGAAAACTATTAATTTACGACTGAAGCTGTAGTTTATTTAATATATTGGAGATATTTTCCTTTGAACCACGTGAACAGGGCATCAAAGCGACTAAAGGGACAAAAACGTTTTTGAAAACGCTCGAAAACGACGCCCGTGTGCACATAGCCTTAGTTCAACTGAATTTTCGCATTTTTTCGACTGCCCTGTAATTATATATAACGTTTTCTCAGAGGCCAACATTGTTCAGTAAAAATATTGATTATACCCGAATCTAATATTCGCAAATTAATGAGATGTTGCTTTATCTTGTTCTCGCAGGACGTAACTCTATTCCAATTTGTGGTTGTCGACTTTGTGCGCTTGACCGATACACCATTTTTGAAAACAGATTTTTGAAAGCCTGTCTGTATTTTTGGTCCAGGCAGGCATAAATTATTGGATTGCAGAGGCTGTTCACTAACGGCAGCAGGTCGACTATCATTACTGATATGTTGATCGAATACTGGTAGTTTAATGATGTGCTTTCCCAATCAATAATATACGGATCGTAGAATTCCAATAAATTATAAATCACGAAAGGAAACCAGCAAAGTATATACACTCCCACGATGACCAACAACATTCGGATAACCTTAAGATCTTGAAGAAAGGCACTTCGTTGGTTCCGATCATTCCAAGTTTGATCCAGTTCGCCGTTTCGCAGCATGGTTTGTCTTTTGTGAGCAATAACAAAGATGAGAGCGTACATAACCAGTATGACCACAGTAGATAGAAAGAACCCGACTGATAAGAAAGTATAGAACTGATTTTCTTTATTATCATCGGATGGGCAATAATTATTTAAATTGTTATCCATCAAGAGAATTCCATAGCTTCCTGAATAAGGAGTGGCGGAGTAGGTGGCAAAAGCAATTGAAGCCAACAAAATGCTAAAAATTATTTTCAATGATTTAGAAGTAGTCATTTTGGACTTATACTGAAGAGGTTTGCTGATTTTGAGATAACGATCAAAACTAATAAACGCTAAGCTCAAAATCGATGCTGCTAGCGCGAAGCTATCTATCCACACCGTAAAACGACATAGATGAATGGATACAGTATATCGCGATTCAGAGTCGTCGAAGAGTTGGTTCGTCTTCAGTGGGTCTAAAAAGATACCAACCAAAAGATCAGCAACTGCCAGGAAAGCAATAAAATATTTGTTTGGTTGATGAAGACTTTTCTCTCTCCAGGTCACTACCAAGACCAAAGTATTGTCCAGAATTGTAAGAATGGCAATAAAGATTAATATTATTTTCTGTGCTAGCTCAACTTGTTTCAGAAATGCAACATATTTCATCCAATCACTGTTACTCCATGTACCATTGTATGTTTGATTTGTAAACATCACTGGAAAACTCGACCGTGGTGGCTATAAGAGTGGATATCAGATTAGTCAAACACACTTTGACAGAATAACTATTAATATACAGTGTTGTAACGATTCATCTACAGGTCGAGTTACGCCGGTCGAGTCGAGTCACGTTGAGTCATTTCAGTCTCTGATCGAGTCGAGTCAGTTTAAGTCGAGTCGAGTCGATAGCTAAACTTGACTTGAGTCAGGGAATTTGATCAAGTCCACCCCACGATTTCTGTAATGGTTCACCACCCTAGCTTGCAGTCTGAAATTAGTAATCAAATGTACGTTTTAAACTAATTATTCTAGTCATTATATAACAGTATCTGGGCAGCTAGGCTGTACCAATATCACAGTTCTAGTCAATATTGAGTACGATTACATGCGATGTTTGATCATGATCATGTATGCTGATCAAGTGTACGTACAAACAACTAGCGTAACTTGCAACTGGAGTCAGAGTTAACAAAAAATAGAGTTTAATTAATTACGCTTTGTAAGTTAGTTTAAAATGATATAGCACTTCATAAATACCAAAAATGAATAGACACGGTGAAAATTAGTATGAGTACACAAAATTTTGAGACTGAATTTTAAAAATTATGTTCGAAGTTTCGACGTTCTCGTTGTTAACAGGACTCATTGTCCTTCCCAAGCAATACATTCACAATAATTTTGATGAATTTACTTTGTACAAGTTGTAGCTGAGTTGACTCGAGTCATTTACCACAAAAATCAGCAAGTCCAGTCCGATTCTGAGTCATTTGAGGCTGTTGACTCGACTCGAGTCATTTTTTTGTATTGGACTCGAGTCGAGTCGCTGAAAATAGCGACTCGAGTCCGAGTCAATGTCTCGAATCGTTAAAACACTGCTGTTATAACTGTGTCAACAATAATTTGGACTTATAGGTCACTGTTTGGTGGTGATTTTGCTAATAGATGAGTAATACCAAAATACAAAAAATTAATGTACAAATACAAATCGTAACCAGAGTATACCAGCACTATCCTGATATATATATATATATCTATATATATCTGATATATATACCAGCACTATCCTGATCAGCACTATCCTGATATATATATATATATATATATATATATATATATATATATATATATATATATATATATATATATATATATATATATATATATATATATATATACCAAATATGTATTTAGAATCATATATGAGTAGAGTGCTCGATATACCGAAGTATAGAGCTAATATAGATAAAGATAAAATAAACCTGGTTTACTTCATAAGATTGCTTGTCATACGAAACAAGTTTGTAGTGAATAAATCTTATGAAGTAAACCAGGTTTATTTTATCTTTATCTATATATATATATATATATATAGTGAGGCGGATATGTGTAAAATTTTTGATCAGTAGTTCCCGTTGAGGTTAAAAGCATCAAACTTTTACAATTGATGTAGTTTTATTTGCCTAATAGATATTTGAAGTGGAGCCATCGCTATTTTGCTGCTAACTCCTGAAAACGGGTGATTAGTGATTATCTTCTATTGAATTCTATTATAGCCAAAAAATGTGAAATTTTGTATTCAATTACAACAAATATGACTTGTATCATCAGAAAGCTTATAAAAAACTGCATATAAGACGTTTAGACAGTTTTTTGATTTCTGAAATAGTTTTCGAATTATAAACTGTCAAAACGCATTTTCAAACATCGAATAATGAATTAGGGACTTTTAGCGAGATAATGTGCCTAATTTACAGCAATAACCATTTGAAGAATAAAAAACTGTTTAAAAGTCTTTTATGTAGTTTTTAACAAGCTTTCTGGTGATGCAAGTTATATTTGTCGCGATTGAATTCAAAATTTCACATTTTTTGTTGTACTAGAATTTAATAGCAAATAATGCTAATAGCATCGTAATTCTCTGAAAAAACCGGTTTCACGATGGCCCCACTTTTGCATGTTGTTCTACTCATAAAAAAGATGCTACTGTGCACAATTTGGTGCTTTTAACCATGCACATATCCGCCACACTAATATATATATATATATATATATATATATATATATATATATATATATATATATATATATATATATATATATATATATATATATATTAGGTGTGATAAAACTCGCACTGCGAAATCAATGTTTTAATCGGGTCAAAAACGATCGATCGAGTAAGTTCATTGACAAAGAAATTTTTCAAAAAGTACGTTGTGTAATTCGAGAAAATCAAAGTTAAAGTTTGTGTAAATCAAGGGAAATCTCTATCACATATAAAGATACGACACGCTTATTATTTTTTGGTGTTTTCCTCATGAATTATTAACGAGTTTTTGAAAGTATGATTGTGAAAGCAATCACTACATCTCTAATGCTTCATCATGCAGTGTTTATTGCCTTGTGGCCAATCACGAATTACGATATAACTGCGTGGACGTTTATGCATTCTTAGACTAGATCTGTAATATATGTCCTTGATGTGTTCTTTTAAGGACCCACACGTTACATATGTATTCCTTTCAATTCCCGCTTGTGTTGTTGCTTCGTTCTTCTAAAAAAAACAACTATAAAATTGTATAATCTCGAACGATCTGTGCAGGTGTAGATAATGCCAATAATAGGAAAGCCTCGAAATGACGTCATTACGGGGAGCAAATATGCAAAAAATACAAGGATATCTTCGACGTTTACTTCTTCAGGAAATTTAGCATTGAACTTCGAAACGTCAAAGATCCCTTTGTATTTTTCTGGTCAGTTGCATCTCTAACAATCCGAAATTTTATTTAAATATGTTTTTAAAATTATATACCTTGACTTCGAAATTACAGCTAAATCTGAACCTAACACCGCGACACGTTTGGTTTCGATCGTTTTTTCTCTATTATTTACTTTCAAAATTCAAATCTAATAGTAGCCTACGATAACATATCTATATAATCATGATGCTTAAGCCATGCAGTTTTCATCACAATTATGTCAAACAGCGTCTGATTTGATCTTCAGTTAATTTTAATATTTCACATTACTATGATAATTATGTAAATTCACAAAAACTTTAATAAATTGTCAGTTTGATTGTCCACATTTTGCTTAAGCAACCAGTAAGTAAGCAAAGTTATTATATATCAATAGTCAAAGTCGCATTTTTCTAGTGTTTTATTGGTTGAGAGGATATCACGTGAGAGTGACGAAATTAGGCTGTTTCCCTCGCAACAGCGCGAGAGGGAGATAATACGTTATCGACCCGCGAATAACAAAAAAATCACGTGCGCCATCACGTGAAGATGCGACCTTTGAACATGCCTAGTACGTAATTAAAACTTTCGCTTTAAGTAACTGCAGTGTAGCCAGTGTTTAATATAACGTTTTAACAATAAAATATTTCATGTATTTACGTTCATTTGTTCTTTAATTTTTTGTTTCTTTTACTATTGATATATAATAAAACACTTATATTTACTGAGACCTCGGGAAAGCAGTGTGTTTTGTGGACCCTCGACCGTTGATGTTTCGGGTCCACAAAACACACTGTTTCCCTCGGTCTCAGTAAATAAGTGATAAATAACTCCTAAGTATCACCTATTGATTGCAACAGTGTATATTACAATATTCACGAGATCGCTCAATGGCTGTGCCAAAATCTTTCAATACTACTTCATGTACGTCGTTTTAATTAATCTATGCATCACACAATAGTCATCAAAACATTTGACATCACGAAACATTAATGTCCAAATGTTTAGTCAGAGAAACCCAATGACAATTTGATTTCTTTTTCATTAAACTCGAATTGCATGCAGTAGAGTGAGGAGAAATATACTTCTAAGCAGTTCGATATTTTTTATTTATCGTTTAAAATTGACTTGTGAAATTATTTCTGCGGGTCTGTATAAGAGACATGTTCCCCTTGTATTTACCTTCTATTCGTATATCGACAAGCTCATGATAAAATGATGTCGGGCAATTTCCATCAATGTCAGGCAAATTTTTGTCAGCTCCTATAATTTCCCGCCCGTACGCCAACAGCACGAACAATTTTATTTATGACTAATAGAAAATGGCAAGCTTATAATTCACAGTCAGATGTTATTTTCCAATTTTTATTATCTTGTTTCATCTATATTTATATAGATAAGTTTTATAATTTCCATCTAATTGCGCTATCATCAAACATAATTCCTGCACCGCTTCTCATATATCATTGGCAAGAAAACTCATAACCCTGATTAAGATCTCAAACTTCGCCGATTTCAATCAGCCTTAATTTAGAAAAAAAACAGTTTTTATCGAAGCTCTTCACTACAGCTAAGAAATCAGAACTTAAACAATTTCATATATCCTGGCCATAATTATGGATAATCAAAAATCAATTCTATTTCCAATAAAGGTCCGTACAATTTCCATTGTATGGATTTTCAATTTTTTTTCCAGTGGGTCATTCATTTATCAGCCGCCGTCAATTATTTCTTCTATTTCCACTCGATATGAGAATTGTCAACGTCAACGACAATTCACCAATTCCTTACACAAGCTTCAAAAATAGTTTTAAGTAATTGACTAAGATATCTGTTAAAGGTCAGGATCGAAGCTTTTTCGCAGAACGTGTTTTTCAAAAGGTCCTGACTAGATTAATACTTAAGAAATAGAAAACAGTTTTCATGTTTCTATATTTTTATAGAAACGTATGGGATCTAGTTTGGGAGATAATCGTTCTTTCGAATTCTCCCGAACTACAACAAGTGTTCCTATAATTCCATATAGAAACACAGCAATTTTTTTCTAGTTACCTTATATAATATAAATAAAAAAACTTTTCTTACCACTTTTGTATCGATTAAGCATATGTTATGTAATATTTAAACATGAGCAGCAGTGTTTTATCAGATATACTGAAGATACGAGACGAAGCCGAGTCAAGCTCTGATAAAACACGCACTGCGAATGTTTTAAATTGCTTCAAAACGATCGATCTAGTAAGTTCATTGACGAATTAGTAATTTTCAAAAACTAGGTTGTGAAGTCGAGAAAATCAAAGTTAAAGTTCATGTAAATGAAGGGAAATAATTATTACCGACCATACAGAAGAATTATAGTGCAGAAACCGATACAAAGGATATAATTATATAAATTACCAGCAAAATCAATTTTCGTATTCAGTTGGTATTATACAGATAATACAATTGTATGTTGATATTTTTTCTTTTAACCATATAAATTGATTATAATTATAAAAAAAAAAAATTATTTAAATAATCGTCTGAAATTTATTCAGATCGCTTCATAATGGCCGCCGCCGAAACATCAATCTCGAACACACGACTGCCCCGCTGATTTTTTCTTTTCGAACGCACTTCAGCTAAAACATCACCCTTTAAGACCGTTTTCCACTAGACGGAATTTTGCGCACGGAGAGGAATTTCTCTTTGTCTTTTCTAAATAGTTCCACACGAGAAATCACAAGACAAAGAAAAATTCCGCTCCGCGCGCAAAATTCCGCCTAATGGAAAACCGGCATTAAGTTTTGTTTAAACATCGTTGATTTGGGTACGACGATTCAGGTCGTACTTGGTCCTTCCACTCATGTCGAGGTCATATAATACTTTTTACTGTGCTGGTGTTATGCACTCAGGTGAATATAATGCTTGTGATGTTACTCTGAGGGTATATCCACAGCGGGCAAGCTTGAAAAATATATGCCTGGCCACGGTGGGAAAACATCATGTTTACAAGATTGCATAGATATCGAAGGAACTAGACTCAGTTCCGAAATATCACATACTCGAACAGACCTGACCGCGTAGCTCAGTTGGAAGAGCATTGGGCTAGTAATCCAAAGGTCGTATAGGTTCGATTCCCGCCGTGGGCAGGCATATTTTTCAAGCTTTATCGGTGTGCATATACACTCAGAGTAACATCACAAGCATTATATAATATAAGTTAAAACGAATGTAAGTTGAACTTGTCGAAATTCACTGCATGTCAATGTAATTGCATTTATAAGATACCTATAATTTTACATCATAAATTGTAAAGCGCGTCTGCAGAGTCTATTTGTGAATTAAATATTATTATTATTATTCAACTCTTTTACGAATTACAAGAACAATCGCAATTGCTCAACGGTAATTGAATTTATTTAACAACGGTCGTACAAAAAATGTTTATCTAGTGATTAAATACAAGGAAACATGGTATTTTAGCGAATCAAAAATTATTGACGTGTAATGTTGTGGTCCAAAGATGTCTTTTCTCCTCTTGTCGGACATGTTATTTTAGGAAGCATGGGCAAAAGATGGAAAATATTATAAGTTCTAGAAACGATTTTTCTCTTATTTTCTGATATGACACGTAAAACGCATAGAAGACCAAAAATAGAAAACGATAATATGGTTGACATGATATTGTTCAGTGTTTGTTGCACATAGAGCTCTAGCCAGATTTCTGTCATTTTTTAAGGTATATTTCCTGAAGTACGTCTAATCAATGCAGAGTGATTTTCTCTTTGCCATCACTCTTTCTTTATCACTTTACATTGCAGTTCGGCAAAAAATATATCAGATATATAGAATTTGTTATTATATATTTCCTCAGTAAAAGTGCGCAATGCAACTCTGATGAATTGAATCACCTTAATTGCGTCATATTTTATGTTGACGAATATAACCAAACATTTCGATATTTTCCTTTTACTTCAGTAAAATTTCTTGTCAATTATCTGTTTTTCTTTGAATTGATTTTATTGGCCCTTTCCAA